GGAGGGATGAGTCAAATAATTGGAAAGAATAGCTGGAAAAGATATGTAAAAACAACACTTTTGAGAAGACTTATTGAAAACTAAGGGTTGGGGGCTGGAGAGATGGCTCAGTGGTTAAGAGCATCGCCTGCTCTTCCAAAGGTCCTGAGTTCAATTCCCAGCTACCACATGGTGGCTCACAATCATCTGTAAAGAGGTCTGGTGCCCTCTTCTGGCCTTCAGGCATACAGACAGAATATTGTATACATAATAAATAAATAAATAAATAGATATTTAAAAAACAATTTAAAAACTAAGGGTTTTGATACATTCATTATAAAAATGGTTGCTAGAACCCTTGATTTAAGCTAAGTATTCAACATCTAGGATAAGATACCTTTAACGTATATGAGGAAAGCCACAGAAAAGTTGTAAAAATCAGACATTTATTTTTAGGTTCACTAATTAGTGAACTAATGAAAAAGACTTATGCTCCTATTTAAGCTGATGTATAATTAAGGTAGCTAAGTACAAAGAATTTGTTCTTGAAGCTAAATTAGAATGTAGGAGGGAAAACTTAGAATTTTTAAGCTATTCTGCATTAAAAATATAAACCTCTCAGAGCATGATTACATCTTCCAAAGCGTCATTGAGAAGCTATAATGGGCAAGGTGCTGTGCTAAGTGCTATGGGGGATGTCAAGACAAGTCTCTCTACGGGTTTGTAACAGTCTGATAGCCCAGTTCCACCAGAGTCAAACACTTGCTGAAACTGATTCTCTTAGATCGTGCCTAAAGGCTAAGTCTTCTAGATAGTACAGATTTGACAGGTAAACCATTTAGGACTTTTAATTTAAACTCGTAAATGGTAGGAATACTGAGCACATCCTTATGATTTTGAATGTGATGTGGAGTCGTCTGATGGCCTGAGGCTCACAGAAGCCTAGAATACAGTCATGCTCTGAGAACTGATAGTACAAATAACAGACAATTTAACCTTGCTGGCCATGGCTTTAAAATGTTCTGCTTGATCATCACCAGGTATTACTGTTTGCTATTTAATGAAGCCTACTTCTAAGATTAAGAGTATATCTATGCTCAGTGTTGAACACTAGTCTCCACTAAACCTCTGCGAAGGAGGTGCCATGATTTTATGGATGGTTAAAATGAGATATAGAAGGGTGAAAAAGTCTGTGAGTGCTTAAAGATTCAGACCGAAATCTGGCTGCAGCACCAGATCTTACTGCTGTCCTGTCGAGTCATATACTTTTATCTGAATCATGAGGTTCAAAACTTCTGAAAGTAGATTTAAGTTTTGGCACCCAGCTTATTTGACAGAATATGGTTTGGGCTGACTTGAAACAATAGACTTTATTTTACTTAATGTAAATGTTCATGTATTTCACTGTAGCTGTATTGTATCTGTATAGTATTTGATGTCTATTGCTTAAGTATAGCATATGCTCTTTTGAAAAATGGGGAGAACTTTTGATTCTGGAACCATCTAGTCCCATGGGTTTCAGAGGAGAGGCATGGACCTATTGGTTAGCTCTTGATTATTATAGCCATTTCTTCATCCTAACCCCGTACTTCTGATCTCTTGCTTCTAACCAGCTATAGACTGGGAAGTTTATGCTTGTAAACTTTTATTAGCTACCCCTGCCCAAACCCTTAGGTTTTTGAAGTTTTTAGTTCATACTCATAATCCCAGTTCCAGTTTATCGGGGGTCTTTTGCTTCTTCTCCATTCCAGAACTTTTTTTTCCCTGCTAAGAAATTCTTAGTAATCTTCGCTAAAGATGGTGTGGTGGTTTGAATAAGAAGGGCTCTTGTTGGAGGTGGTGTGTCACTGGGGGCAGGCTTTGAAGTTTGAAAAGCCCATGCTATTCCAGTGGCTCTCTCATTCTGCTGTGGGTTTATGGATCAAGATGTGAGCTCTCAGCTATTGCCCCAGAGCACATCTGCCTGCCCGCCTGCTGCCATACTCACTGCCCTGATGTTATTCAAGAGTCTTCTTTGTAGTGGTTTTATAGTAGAGGGGGAAGATTGGGCTCAGCTCTCGGCACCATGGACAAGTGGAGAGTTCTAGCTCAGGAACAATGTATGGAAGTATGTGTGGGCAAAGGGTCAGTGGGCAGAAAATCACTAAGAGTGATCTGTAGCACAATTAATAAAAACCCAGAGACAGAAATTGGGGTTCAACCTGAAAGTGAGAAAAGCAAAACAGCCAGCCAACACTCTACCTCGCTCAGAAATGGCGATCTTGCCCCCAGGAATGAGACTGTGTGAGACCTGCCTCCTCCTGTTTTATATTCTCTAGTGCTGGGATTAAAGGCATGCACCACTACCGTCCGGTTTCTTTGGCAAACTAACATGGCTACTGGGATTAAAGGTGTGTGTCCCTACTGACTGCCTGGTCTGTAAGGCTGATCAGAACAGCTGTTTTATTCTCTGAGCTTCAGGCAAGCTTTATTTGTTAAAATCCAAATGAAATTTCACTACAGGGATCAGTGTTTGGGGAGATTCTTACTAGGTCAACTAGACTCATGTTTAGAACTGTCTGGAATATTTAGATACCTAAAATGGGGGTAAGGAATCTAGTCATTACCAAGGAAGGCCAGATATCAAGGTCAGAGGATTTTTGCTAAAATGGCATAGCAAGGTTCTTACTTCAACTGTTCTAAGCAGGTCAGCATAAAGTGTAGAGTCTGGGCTGTTGAGAGATAGGTTTCAGAAGAAGCTTGATTGAAAGCTGGTCTTTGTCAGCCCACAGTGACATTTTCTGTATACTTTAACAAGTGCTTTTCTCAATGTATTTTTCACCAGAATCTAGAGTTAATTTCTTTTGGGCTGTAAAGATCCAGATTTATATTTTAACTTAGATAATAGCTCCAATGAGATTAACTATGGCAATATCAGCATTTTAGTGCATTTAAAATTAAAATTATATGGATCAATAGGAATAATATATATTTGAAGCAAAACTACCAGATTCACCTCTAGAAAATAGTTGTTTGGATGCTCATTTCTGGAGTATTTTACCCCTTCCCCTCTTATTTGGGGGTGGTATTTAGGACTAACATATGCATCAGAGTGCTAAGGGGAAAGTGAAAGAATTGCCCATTAAAGATTTACCTACCAAGGACCTTCAATATTGGCACTTTAGAAGGAAGGAAATAATGATTTAAGACCAATCTTCATTCTAACCTGTTTAAATATGGAAATGGGATTCAGATTGGTGAGGAAGGAAAGATCCACAGATGACTCTCAAGAGTTGGGTACGTTTGTTTCCAGCTTTATTTTGTAGAAAGAAAAGGGAGAAACTAGAAAGTGAGGGAAAGGATTAGAGAATACTGTGTGGCCGGGCAGTGGTGATTCACACCTTTAATTTCAGCACTTGGGAGGCAGAGGCAGATGGGCCTCTTAGTTCGAGGCCAGTGTGGTCTACAGAGCATATTCCACGACAGCCAGCACTGTTACACAGAGAAGCCCTGTTTCAAAAAACCACAAAAAAAGAAAATATTGTGTGTGGAGCCCCTCGGGTGCTGCCTTTTTATATAGGGGATTAGCCTGGTTCATTCCAAAACAGCTTCCACAGAGTGCGGAGCATCGAGGAGGCCCAGCAGTGCCAGGGAGATGGGATAGACTCGTAAGTATACAGAGCGGAGGACCAGGGTTATGTGTTATTATATGTTGCCTTTACAAAGTCTGAGCCCTGCTTTACAGATTCGGACAGCTGAAGTTCAGCAGCATGGTAAAGCTTAGCAAATGTTTCACAACCACAAGATGGCTGACTTGGGGCCAGAGGGTATTTGTGTTCCCCCAAACTCATATCCTTTATTTCACACCTATCCCCCAGCCAGAAGTTTGTAACAGCTTTAGGGGACTTCTCTGGCCACAAGCAGTAGGGAAAAGACAGGTTTCCTCTTTTAGGTGGCCAGACGCCTTTTCTTTCACCCTACCCTGTTTATGTGAATGCACAACCAGCTTCTGAAGATTCCCTGACCATGTCTTTCCTGTTATTTTTTAATTTTTATCTGATATATAATAATCTGTGCATATTGATCATATTAATGGAATAGCATATAATGTTCAGTGTGCATATTGTTAACATCAGCTTAGACGTATTTGTCTCCTTAAACATCTGGTCTTTTCTCCTGACCAGCTTTCAAAATCCTTCTAGTTTTTTTAAATATGTGGTGCATAATTGTTAGCCATATTGTGCGGCATTAAACCAGAACTTATTTCTTCTAACTTGAGCTTAGTAGCTATTGATGGAATCCCACTCCATCCCTACTATCTCCAACCTCTAGGAGCCCTCGTTCTACTCTCAATTTCTGCTATTCTACATGGGAGGAGTCACATGTTACTCAACTGCCATGCCTGCCTTGGCTCACTGACCTTCCGTATGATGTGTTTTGCCTTCTTGAACTTGTCATAGTGGATCATTACCCTGGGAGTACATTGTAAACTATTTCTTTGGGACATAATAGTCCTGTGGCTTAGAGCCCTTTACTTGGAATCACAGAGTGTCTGCTTCCAGGGTGGCAGAGGAGTGTTTCCTAAAGAAACATTGGAAGAAAAATTTTCCCAAACGGTTGGCACACATTAGGAACCTTTACAGAATGAATGGAGCGGAGCATGTTGCCGCCCAGCAAACCACTATGAGCAGGAGTGGATTTACATGTTGTACTATTTCTATACTTGGCAATTGCCCCACAGTGTTTATTTGAAAACAAACTCAAATTATATCCCAGGTCACTTTTATATTATGACTGGTAACACTAGGTACATATTTGTGTTAAGAAAAGATCGCTTTCCAAGTTGCCTCTTGGAATAAATGTTCTTTTTCTCTTCTAATTAAGTGGTTTCCTTAAACTTGCTATTTCAGAGAAGAAAATTTTAGCCTGACATTGTTATGTTACTTAATTTTCTTTTCCTGACCAGTAATAATTCTGCTAACATGAGAACATCTTATGTCTCTGGATGTTAATTTTATGGAATTGTTTTCATCTCTTAATAGGTAGAGATAATGCATGTGAAAAAACTTCATATATGTTTCTGCGTAAGGAGCTTCCTGTTCGACTGGCTAACACAATGAGAGAGGTTAACCTTTTGCCGGATAACTTGTTGAACCGCCCTTCAGTGGGATTAGTTCAGAGTTGGTAAGTAAATGTTCTGATCACGCTACAATGCTTGGAACAGTTTGGCATTGGCACCATTTTCCACAGAAAATGTCTTTCTGGGACTGAGTCATTCAGGATAGCTGGGCTTTCCTTGCATTTAAATGCTTTTCTTCTAACTATTCATTTAAAAACTGTCTGAGCTGTGGTGGCACACACCTACAATCTCATACTTGGGAGGCAGAGGCCAGCCTGGTCTACAAAACAAATTCCAGGAAAGCCAGAGCTGTTACACAGAGAAGCTCTGTTTAAAAAAAAAAACATAAAAATGTTTCATCTTAAAACTGTATAATGGAAGTATCTTTGAAAAAAAAGATAATTTCTTAACTTCATTTTTTTCTCTTGTTATACACATGGTTGCTTCATTGAAAAAAAATAAAGAATAGCCAGGTGGTGGTGACGCACACCTTTAATCCCAGCACTCGGGAGGCAGGGGCAGGTGGATCTCTGTGAGTTCGAGACCAGCCTGCTCTACAAAGCGAGTTCCAGGACAGTCAGTGTGGTTACATAGAGAAATCCTGTTTTAAAAACCAAAAAAATAATTAGAGAATAATATAAAGGAATGCAGTGCAGTGGCCAGGCATCAGTGGACCTATTTTCATTTTAAAAAGTGAGGCAGTGTCTCAGGTATCCCTGACTGGCCTTGAATTCAGTTTGTTGCTTAGGTGACCTTGCATTTTTGATCCTCTTCCCTCCCGAGTATTGGGATTCCACACGTGAAGGAAGTGATTGAACAGTCAAATCATTGCAGTAGCAGTTCCATGCCTTGCTGCATCTGCACATACAAAAACTTTTAAAACCAAGTTAAGTCAGTTGTACCGCTGATTGTAAAGCATGCATTCCCTCACAGAGGGAATGGAGTTTGTGATGACTTTCCTCCCTAGGTGAGATCACTGAGTGGGAGGCTGTAAGAAAAGGTGGTGTGTTTTTAGACAGGTTTGCATGTTTGCTCTACTCTGCTAGAAGCATTATGGGAGTGTCTGGAGAAAGGAGGAGGACAGTAGGGACTAGGTGGCATACACGTTGCTAATCAGGAACAGTGTTGTAAGAACAAAAGGGGCAGAAAATGCTGGCTTTGGTCTTGTACTGTTCCTTGATGGGTGGGTGGAACTGAGTGGTACAGAGGAGCAGGAGAACATCATGGAAAAGTAGCTTGAATTCAGAGAGTTTGTGGTCTGGCTTCTGATAGAGAATGTACATTCAACAACATTCCCAAGAATGTGAAGTTCTTCTGAGAAGCACTATTTTATGCTCTGACCATGCATGGCCTAGGGATCGACCTAACTCAGGTGATGAGGAATGAAGAAAATGATAGATACATACAGAAAAGCCAGAGTCGAGTCACACATTCTCATGGAGTTGCATCAACATCATCCCTGAATTGATGAGGTGGATTTCTTGTATAGAGCCAAATAGGAGTTTAGCTCAAGTTTAGCTGTTCTAGGTAGGGGATCTCTGTAGGGGAGCAGTCTTGAGGTGTAAATATCTGGGAGGAAGAAATTTCAGTGGACAATTTCTGTACACACTGTCAACATCCATACATGGACCAGGGGATGGCTCTGCCATTCCCATGGGTCCGAGGCATTGGTGTCCTCGACATGGCCGTGCTCATGTCAACACCATGCATTCACTCAGGACTTCATCTGATACTTACATGTTCACTAGGAACTTCCTCCACTACCCACAATTTTAGATGATCTTACAGGTTCACTGTCTAGCCTCCTTTCCAGAAAAGCAGAAACTCCTATGAGGTGCATAGTCCTTAGGTTGTGGGAAAGATCACAGAAATGATGAATATGCATTTGATACCATAGTTACATTGTGCTTTGGACTCATGGCTTGTTTTAGAAGGAAGAAGCAACAAATAGTTATTTGTGTGAGAGTTCTTTATTGCTTCAAGACCATCATTGGAAATATTGCTGTAGAAAGTATAAGTCATTGTCAGGGACAATGTTGAGGATTCTAGGTAGGCAAGGTTAAGTCCTTTGATCCAGTAAATCCAGTAAGTGATAGCAATTAGATTATTTCCATTGCTTATGTAGCAGTTACTTCAGGAACTTCCAAGTGAATTACTGTCTCTGAGTTGTTTTCCAACATTAACCAATTTCCCAAACAGCAGCAACTCTGTTCAATCCCAATACTAGGTAAGTGAAGTCAGCACAGAGCCCATACTTTAAGGGCTATGTTCCCCGAGACTGATACTATACCTCAGATGCCCTAACTATGCGTTAGACTAATTGGCTGGACATTGAGTTTCCATGCCCCTTTTCTGAAGTTCATAATTTGCTCAAGTGGATTACAGAACTCAGGAAGTCACTATGTTTATATTTAAAGGTAGATTTTTAAAGATATAATTCAGAAATAGCAACAGTGGTAGAAATATATCAGACAAAATGTTGCTGTAGCTATATAGCATCCATGCCCTCTTTGAGTGTGCTCTGTTGGCGCCTCCAGGTGTTCAACACAAAGATCTCAGAATCTCCTAATTCAGGAGTTTATATATATATATAGAGTTTCATTTTCACACCTTGTACCTCCACAGAGTCTGGGGATTAGAACAAAAGTTACAGCTCCCCAGTCACTTGTAGCATTGTTCTGATTGTGTTGACACTGTCTAAAGTCCCCACCCTAAGCAAAATCGCTAGAATAACTCAAATGTGAGCAATAGATGCTTCTTATGAGTAACAAAAGATACACCTGTCATTCTGTAAATTTGAAGGTTTAGAAACTGTATCAGGAGCCAGGAGTAAATACCAAATTTCCTTTTGATATATATATATATATATATATATATATATATATATATATCAAATATGTATATATAAAATATATGTATATATATCAAATATATATGATATTGTATAATATATATCAAAAGGATACATACACATACATACATACATGCATACACACACATACTGGCAAAGTGAAATAGGACTTTCACTTTGTACTTGGTAAATGTTAAATCTTTGTACCCCATTGCCCATTTCTACTTAAAAGACTATCTGCATGTCATTTTTTTGTTCTTACATATTCTGTTTTGAAAAATAATTTCCTACTTAAGAATTGCAAGAATAGTAGAAAGAATTGCCATATACCTTTATCCAGCTTCACTGATAACATTTGGTTATATTTTCTCTTTCATAATTCATGTTTATGTTCTCTTTCCTACCTTGAATGGGAAGAGAGATATGATTACATTTGTGCATGTGTATGTGTATATGAGATACACATGCATAAAAGAAATGTGAAAGTTGTCAGGATGAAAATGGAGTTGCTAGAACTAGGGAGTTACTAAGGAAGATTTCTTTTGCATGGTTGCCTGTTAGTGACTAGCACAAGAGTCTGGGTCTACAATCTTGTACAGAGGCCCCTGCAGCCTTATAAAGATAGTCCTTCTGAAGGCCAACTGAGCAGCAACTGTTCAGCCTCCAGTACATTCCATCCTTCTTATTAATCGTTAGAACCAACAGTTACTGTTTCCAAATATCTGATGTGACCATTTTTTCTTTAAAAGTCCTCTTGTCTGGACAGTTTTTCTTTTTTCTATCATGTATTGCTGTGCCTTAGGTATTAAAGAGATGAATACAATAACATCCGTGTTTAACAGTGTGCCATTACAGAAGAAAGGGAAAGCTGGGAAAGAGAGTGGGAAAAGAAGCAGGTCAACATAGGAGGGATTTTAGAAGTGCAGTCAAGGAAGGAGTCTCCAAGGAGGTGCCATTTGAACATACCCATGACTCCTGTAGTGTGTGATTTCTCATTGGAATGCTCTTCCCAAATATCAGTGTTTTTGTGACATTCTTTCAGATTGTCCCTTTTTTAGATTAACATCACACAAACATTCATTACTGTTCCTGGAACATTGGATTGAAGTTGCCATTATGTTCCTTTGTCCCCAAATACTTTAACATGTATCTCTGGTCATAACTCGTAGAAAACCGTGATATAATTGTCACATCTAGAAGATTATCATCAATATAGCAATACTTCCTAATAGGTAACACTTGTAATTATTTTAGTAGTTATCTTAATAATGCTCCTGTTTTTTAAATGCTGTCTTGATGTAAGAATCCAGTTTAGGATCATGTATTTGTGTGTTTCTGGCATTGGCTTTATGTGGAGCAGCAACTCTGCCACTGTCCCCTCGGCTACCCTGTACACTTCCCACTTCCTTTCATGCTGTGACTCTTACTGGAATCTTGGCTCCTTTTGCATTTGTAACTTTCCTCTCTGAAGGATTGTTCCCTTTGGAAAGGGCTAGAGCTTGCCTAGCTTTGCTCATATGTGGCACATGTTATTAAGGCTCAAGAATTATAATGCTGTACACTTTTTTTGTATTGGCTTTTATTGAGAAATACCAAGATCAATCCAGAATTTTTTCCTGAGGGCCTAACATGCATTTCTCTAATACATATTGATGAAGTTAATTTTACTCAGAGAAGGAGCCTTCTTTATTCTGAGGCATTTACTAAAATTTCATGTTCTTTTTGCCAGGTGTGGTGGTGCAGGCCTTTAATTCCTGAATCCAGAAGGCAGTTAGCAGGTCTATTTCTATGAGGTCAAGGTCAATCTTGTCTAAATATCAAGTTCTAGGTCAGCCAAGGCTACGTAGTGAGACCCTGTCTTAAAAAAATTTTTTTGAGGGGCTAGAGAGATGGCTCAGCAGTTAAGAACACTGACTGCTCTTCCAAAGGACTGGATTCAATTCCCAGCACCCACATGGCAACTCATAACTGTCTGTAACTCCAAGATCTGACACCCTCACACAGAGATCCATGCAGGCAAAACACCAATTCTCATAAAATAAAAAATAAATAAATTTTAAAAACTATATGTACTTTTTGAGTAACCAAACTGTACACTGGAGTTAGGATGCATTTATAATAGCAGACAGTACTGCTGAACCTGGCTTGTACAGCTTCAAGGGCCAGTCAGAGGATGAGCTTTTCTTGTTAGTTGAATTAGAAACCATGAAGATATTAAATCTGTTTTTATAGTGTTGGCTTTGTTTTCAGATGAGCTTCCTTCTAGGTGGCATACTGCCTTCAACAGTTGCAGATTTCCTGTTCGTACAGCACATTGTACAGGAGCAGAGAAGCCAGTTTCTTCCTCAGAGACCTCCAGCAAGCCTTCTGTGTACTTCTTTCAGCCTGACTGGAAGCTTTAGGACCTATTCCTAACTCAGTCCATGTGTTCAGGGATGCACCCAATTCACAGGACCATGGGACTGATGAGTAATTCCTGACAAGAGAAAGATGGAGCTACCTGCGTGCTTTGGGGGACTCAAGTTAGCCTGAAGTACTTGAGCTGTGTATGGGAATGGGTAAAACCTGAATGAAAACTTGGGATTCTCTTATAAAAGGGAAAAGATGTTAGGCAGGCAGCTAATGGTGCTTTTCCTTTTTTAGGTACATGCAGAGCTTCCTTGAACTTTTAGAATATGAAAACAAGAGCCCAGAAGACCCACGGGTTTTAGATAAGTAAGTATGATACAATTTACGTGAAAGTAAAAATATCTAGGCAAAAGAATATTTTCATAAATGGAACCCATGCTATTGGGTCTCAAGAATTGTAACTCACGGCTGGGGAGATGGCTCATTTGTTAAACTGCTTAATATAATGTGCATAAGTGAGGACCTGAATTTGGATCTGCAGTAGTCAGATGGACATTGGGCAGGTATGGCAACCTGCCTGTAATCCTAGTACTCGGGAGTCCCCAGGGAAGCTGGGAGCCAAACTGCTACAAAATGTGAGCTCTTAAGTTTAGCTGCCTAGCTAAACTACCCAAATAAGCGAGTTCTAGGTTCAGAGAGACCCTGTTTTGACAAATAACGAAGAGAGCGAATAAGGAAGACAACCTGGCCTCCATATATATGTGCGTGAGAATTATGTACTCATGTAACATGCACACATACTACACACACATCTGAGAATGTTGTAGGAGGCCGTTCGTTCATTTCCCAACCGCCCTGACTAGAAATAATCACTCAGAAATCGTATTATTTAAATCACTCTTGGCCAATCACTTAACGGTGTTGCTAGCTAGCTCTTACATCTAGAATTAACCCATTTCCACTATTTTATCTTTTACCATGAGGCTTGTGGCCTACCAGCAAGGTTCCAACTGGCAGCTCGTGTCTTTCCCTTTGGTGGCTACAAGGCTTCTCTCTGACTCCACCTACTCTCTCTGTATATATATCTCTTCCAGCCTGGCTATGTTCTGTTAAGCCACTGGCCAAAAGCAGCGTCTTTATTCATTAACCAATAAAAGCAACAGATAGACAGAAGGACTTCCCATACCACGAGAACACAAAAAACTAGAATTCAGACCAAAGTTTTAATTTTTTTTGTGGACAGTGACATTATTGAATTTTTTAATTTAGGAATTTAGTACAGCACACAAATAATAATGAAACTTCATTTAGTACTGCATGATATAATTCTTAATATATTTAGTCAGGGTGAACTGGACATCAGCTTAATATAAGCATTGTAGTGAATGTTCCATCTAGTGGTAGTTTTAAGAATGCAGTAGCCTCCATATATACATGAAATAAATATACATGAATTATCTACCTAGTCCATCGACTTAAAACATATTTTCCAATGGAGTATTACAGTTGATCTTAGAAAACCATAGTGATTTTCTTTTAGAGAAGCATAAAAGGTGTGTGTGTGTGGTGTTTATACAAAACTCAAATTGCTATCACAATGTAGAAAGACTACTGAATTTTCATGTTACTGGAAAGTATTTCTATTTTCCATTTTTGTTCTCCAGCAAAACATAGATAGCTGTGAGTGGGGGTGTTTCCCCAAGAAAATTCTCTCCACCCTAATTTCTCCATTTTGGGTATAAAAAAATGAATGCTCATGGTAGTCTGTTGTGCCGAGAACTAACTTTAATTGTAAGTATAGACATAATCCATATAATTGTGAGATAAACACTTGACTCGGAGTGTTCCATGAAAGAATTAGGGAAGTATGATACTACACAAACAACCTTGGAGCATTTTCCCACCCAGCCGTGAATTGACAAACGAGGACCTATGGAGGTCAGAAGCGTGAAGAATGCTCTCAACATTGTGACACTGCATAGCTGAGCACCTATGAGTCATGGTTCCTTTTCGTTAGTGTTCTGGTTCTTTGCATTATACCATACTGCCTAATGGCTGCTTCCAGCCAGGAGAAGCTCAGGTTCAGTTGTATTTTCTCTTATGGATCTGGGAAATATGAAAAGTGCAAGCATTGGGTGAGAGCCACAGTTGCTTCCTTGATTCTAGTCACTGTTGTCACTTAAGGCATTGACATTAAATGGATCGAATCCAGGAACTTTGTTTCTTTAAATCATTAGTTGGGGACATTTTGAACTCCTCAAAGTGAAGCTGGCCTCTAGCTCTATATTTGAAGATACAGATTTGGAGAAGTACACAATTATTCATTGCTGTGGTTTTTTCTGGAGTCCTGTCTCTGTAACAAAATTCCCATCAGTGACAATTTATTGAAATGGATTATACTGAATCCAGCGTGTGCTAGATCTTCATGGCAGTAGTTCTTTCTCAGTGAGTTTTGAGAACTTAAAGGCTTTATGCAACTAGTTTGGAAAGTTGAGACTTGAGAAGCCCCATGCGTTAGTAAAGGAAGAGGTGAATGGTGAGCTAGTGTCCTGGTGACAGCCTTCCTTTTCAGCTGGGGGTCATCTATGTATATCACATTGATAATCATGAGGGATATAGAAAAGCCCATGTGGTAGGGAGGTGTTCTGAGAATCCGCTAAAATAAGCCTGTGCAAGCAAAGACGTTTCTGCACTCTAAAGCATTATTTCATTTTACAGATACTTAATTTATAAATACATTGGAAGGAGGTAATTAAGGAAAAATTATCCATTGTAAAATTTCTTGTGAATAATTGTGAACTTGGGCTTTTTTGTTTTGTTTTGTTTTTGAGACAGGGTCTCACTGTTGCAGTGATCAGGTTGGTTTTGCACTCAGAGATTTGCCTTTTTTATGCTTCCTGAGTGCTGAGAAAAAAGATGTGTGCCACCAAGCCTGGCTAATTGTGAACTTTTAATTTAGAGTTTTTCATCTTTGCTGTCATTGTTTGTATATATTTCTTACAGAAATATTTCATTGAGATAAAAATAAGACTTAAGTAAAAAACTTATCCCAAGTTTCCATTCCTAGTGGACAACCGCACCTAACATTTTCTTATACCCTTATTACCCTAAACATTCATATTGCATGAGTGTAGGGTTTTTTGATTTTGTTTGTTTATTTGTTTTGGTTTTTGAAGATAAGATTTCTCTGTGTAGCCCTGGCTGTCCTGGAATTCACTCTTTAGACCAGGCTGGCCTCCAATTCACAGAGTTTTACCTGCCTCTGTCTCCCAAGTGCTGGGAAATAATCATGTGCCACCACCACTTGGCAAATTTTATAAAAATAAGTATCTGTAATAGTTCTTGGCCATTATTAATAGTTTCACAATATAATCATGCATCTCTTAATGACTGATACCTTTCGAGAAATGCATCATGAGAAATTTGTGTGAATACTGTGGAGTATTCTCGTACAAACTTAAGATGACTACAGCCTTACCAGGGGACATAGTCTTTTGGGGACACTGCTGTGTACAGAGTCTGTCATTGTTATGATGTAACACGTAGTTGTCACTTATATATACACTCACACACACACACTTGGCATTTTGAGACAGGTTTTTTTTTTTCCGGTGTAGCAGCCCTGGCTGTCCTGGAACTCACACCAGACTGGTCTCAGAATTCAGAGATCCGCCTGCCTCTGCCTCCTGAGTGCTGGGATTAAAGGCGTGCACCACCACTGCCCAGCATATATTATTAATTCTTCTACTTATAGGTCATGTAATTTGCCCCACTAGTATTGAATTTTAGACTGGTTTGTAGTTTTTAAAAATTATTTGTTTGTATGTATGAGTATATGATACATGTGCATAGGTGTTTGTCATCTTATGCATATAGATCAGAGGATAGGCTTGGGTGTTAGTCTTTGCCTTTGCCTTTCTTTTCTATGGGTTCTAGGGATCCAAACTCAGGTCACCGGGCTTAAGCAGCAAGTGCAATTATCCCCTGAGTCATCTTGCTGGCTCAAAACAGCATCTCTCCAAACAGCTTTTGTTTTCTTTCTCTCATGTCTCCCCCACTCCTGTTCTCTATGTATGAGTATGCATGCATGTGTGTGAAAGCAGTTTTTGAAAACAACTATTAACGTTGTTCAGCTATTTCTCCAGCCTTGATCCTGGAAGTGGAATTAGCGTCTTTGGACCTGAGCTATATTTGGTTAAGTTGCCCTTAGAAAATGTTCCATTTAGCACCCACACGCAACCTACACTGCTTATTATTTGCCATCCTCATAAAGAACAGTTTCACATTGTGTTATTTTACTTTGCTTTTGTGCCGGAAAATTGATTGGTGTTTGTGCTTGCTTTTTCCTAGATTTCCCCACTAATACAGATCCTTTTCCTAGTTTCTCAGTAAGATGTTCATCTTCACCAAGTCTGAGGACTCTTGTGGTTCTTCATTCATCCACGTGCTTCTGAAATTCAGTCATCTCTTTTCTTTGTGTCATGTGTTTCTCCTGTTCCTAATAAGCTTAGAACAGCCCTCTTCATTTCAGCTGCACACTTGATTCAGTGGATTTTCTTTATTGTTTGTGATTTCACTCAACATTTTTATCTTTAAAAAATTAATTTTTGTGTATGGTTTATGCATATACATGTGTATGTGTGCATTTTCATGTGGTGATCAGAGGTTGGCATCAAGTGTCTTCCTTGATCATGCTCACTTCATTTTTCCAGACAGGCTCTCTCACTGAACAGGAATTTGATGTTTTGACTAGACTAGCTGGAATCCAGCTTTCTCTGCTCCTCTGGCTGTTGGGTTACTGAGATGTGCTGCCACACCTGGCTTTCATGTGGGTACAGGTCCTCATGACATTGTTCCTAAGCCATCTCCCCAGTCTCACTCTTAAGTTTATGACTTGAAATTGGTATATGATTAGCCCTCTGACCTAATCAGTTTAATCATTTCCTTACTGAGTTACATTGTTACATTCTTTTTAAAAATTTATTCTTATTCCTTGTGCATTGATGCTTTTCTCTGCATGCGTATCTGTGTGAGGGTGTCAGATCCCCTGGAACTGGAACCACACACAGTTGTGAGCTGCCATGTGGGTGCTGGGAATCGAACTTGGATCCTCTGGAAGAGCCATCAATGCTCTTTAACTGCTGAGCTATCTCTCTAGACCCCACATTGTTATATTCTTAATATGCTAAATTCTGGGGCACAGCTACTCACTCAGCCTTAGAGCCTGATGTCATTGCTTGACTTACTTTCCTGTCCTTAAAGTCGTGGTATTTCATATTTTTATACGTGTTTTTAAAGTTTTTATTTTTTATTTTATTTGTATGGGTGTTTTGTCTACAAAATGTGTACCGCATGAGTGTCTGGTGCCCGTGGAGTCCAGAACAGGGTGTTACTCCCCGGGACTGGACTTAAAAATGGTTGTGAGCCAGTGTGTATCTGCTGTGAATTTCACCATTACCGCAGCAACTCTTAGAGAGGAAAACATTTAGTTGGCATTTGCTTAGAGTTTCAGAGGTCTAGTCCAATATTATCACGGGAGGAAGCATGACGGCATGCAGGCAGACATGGTGCTGGAGAAGGAACTGAAAGATCTCCATCTGGGTCTACAGGCAGCAGCAGGTAAAGAGAGAGACACTGGGCCTGACATGAGCATCTGAAACCCTAAAGCCCCCAGTGACACACTTCTCCAGCAAGGCCACATCTCCTAATAGTGCCACTCCCTAAGCATTGAAATATGAGTCTTTGGGGGCCATTTTTATTCAAGCCACCACAATATGTAAACCAGTTCCTCTGGAAAAGCAGCCAGTGCTCTTGACTACCGAGCCATCTCTTCAGCCCCTTCCCTATATATCTTGGCAATAATGTGCCAGAATACTTGAAAATGATTGGTGTGTTTGATTTTGAGATGGGTGTCTTCCTATATTGTCTAGGCTAGTTTTAAACCCTCCTGCTTTGGCCTCCTGAGTATCTGGAACGATGGGTATGTGCCACTGCTCCCAACAAATAAGTTTATTAACATTGAGGTTTTATATCTACATTTTAACATGTTTTACTACTGGAAGGAGATTATTTCAAATTTTTGCTCATAAAATGTTTGGCATTCTTTATTCAGAGAAGAAGCTCTTGCTTTAAGATTTCCATTTCTAAGTCCTTAGAAGAAACATTGATATATTCTGTAATTCTTTAGTCAAAAAATATTTATAGAATTCCAAAATGTAAGTGCATTCCTAAGAAATTATTTCAACTTATTTTTAAACTTGACTAGACTACTTTGTGTAGCTCTAAAGGAATTTTGGTAGTAAATTTCAAACCAAAGCTTGTGTTAGGTTTTAATATTTTGACTACTTCCCTTTACTATCTAGTAAACATAATGTTTATAGTTATAAGGAATACCAGAAGGTAACTAGTCAGAGGTGGGAAATGTGTTCGGCCTGGGAAATCCAGACTTACCACTTTTTGTTTCCTTCCCACACAGCTTTCTCCATGTTTTGATTAACATCAGAAACAGACACAATGATGTTGTTCCTACCATGGCCCAAGGCGTGATTGAGTACAAGGAAAAGTTCGGTTTTGATCCATTTATTAGCAGTAACATCCAATATTTCCTGGATCGTTTTTATACCAACCGAATTTCTTTCCGCATGCTTATTAACCAACACAGTAAGTTGGGTTATGTTGGGTCCAGCTTTAAAAAGGTAACCAAATTGATTTTTCTGAAAAGTCTTGGTTTTGCATCACTTTTAATCTACTGATTTAGACTTTTGACTGTAGAAATCTCATTTCTAGTTCAGTTTTTCATAAGTGAATCCTTCCTATTGTAAACATCTGTTAATCAGTGTTCTTAATTAACATCTGTGATACTTACATTAGAGGCAGGAGCACTGCCTCTCTCTCGGGCTCTGCTGCTGCTTTGCTGTGGAGGCAAAGGACTGGTTTTAATGACAGCCATGTTCATTTCTCCATAATTTGATGTACCTGGTAGTATTTTTTCTTAAGCCATACATGCATTTTCTTTTTTAATTTTAAAACCATCAAAACTGTGACTGTTGAATGGCATGTTGGGCATATAAACAATTCCTTTTTTCCGCAGTGGTAGGAAAAATCCAAGGAAGCGTGATCATCAGTCCGTGATGCCATGTTGAGAGCTTTAGTCTGTTCCCCATGCTAATAGACAGGGCTATAATCTAAAATTCTTCTTAACACAAAGAACTTCTTGATTGATTTCTAGTGTTGTCACCTTGGTTCATTTTTTTTTTTAATTCTGAGGAAAAAGCATCCACGTATTTGGAGTCATCCTTGCTGAATCAGAGCATGGACAAAGCATGTTTTGTTTGCTTTACTCATTTTTTTTTGGTTTTTAAAACTCATTTGATTTATTTAGACAAATTTAATGGAACTCTTAAGTATGTATTTATGCGTTTTTAGAAACAAACTATATGACAGTTTATAGAAAAAAGGAACCTAAATACTAGTCAGCTAATGTACTGAGTCACTGGCTATTTTCCAAGTGTTGAATAATTTAATATAAAGTATACCTATAAAAATTTGGCTTGAGTTCCTTTTTTTGTTTTCAGGTTCTTTAGGTTTTTATTTAGGAATAAAAGTTTGCAACTATTGTGTAGAGTAAAATAAAGTATTTTTCTAACAAAGTTTTTTGTGTACACAGAATTGAAAAAGAACCTCCAGGATGGAGGCATTTGCAGTGTTGCCAGTGAAGGTTCTTCACAAATGGCCCAAACTGCATGTTGTGAATATTTAATGATTTGGATAAATGACTGCAGTAGGCTTGAGCAGGGAGATTAGCTGCCGAGCATGGAAATGTCTTGATCTAGCTTCCGCCAGCTGAGGGAGAAAGGACTAGACACCGGACATGCGCTGCTGCTTTAGGGTCGGTCTACTGACTGCAACTAATGGACTTGAAGCACTTCTTCCCCCCCTTTTTGGCTGATGTATTTGCTCACCCATCAGCTGTTTTACATTGCTCTAAGTCATTGTGGATGCTAAAATGATTCTTAAAATTAAAGATCCTTTTAGAGAATTGGAATTTCTTTCTGTGCCTGAGCACCCCAGCTTGCTGTGCTTCAATCCCCTTTCTTCTCTTTTGTGTTCATTTAGCACTTCTGTTTGGCGGTGACACTAATCCTGCTCATCCTAAACACATAGGGAGTATTGATCCCACCTGTAATGTCGCTGATGTGGTGAAAGGTAAGGATACCAACCCAGTGTCACTGGCCATGGCAGAAATAGCACTGTGGTTTATTTGAGGCAGCTCAGCTGTAGGGTTATGTTGCTGTGTAGTCTGTGATTCATCAGACCATGTTAGGTCTAAATCACTTAGTCCAAATATGAAATATTTCTAGATCAGAAAAGGACAAATAATTTCCAATGCTCAAATACCAGTTTCTACTTTATTGCTCAGGGTTAGAGTTGTAGTTCTTTCTTAAACACTAAACATTCCAGGAAGTTCTAAATTTTGACTTGCTATCATTTTTAACTATTTCCTTGTTATAAAATGGAACTAAGTTCACATTTTCCAAATCTACATGTCTTTCTGTTGTATACTCATGGTGTTAAAAGCTATACAGCAAGTGGGCTTAGCTGGATGGACACTATGCCAATAGTCCCAGGGTAGAACAGTCCAGGTACTCATAAATCCCGATTAACTGAGGACTTTGAGTTTGAGCAACAGGTTCCCCATTATTCATTTAAAATAAATGCTTTATCCCGAATGGCTGAAACCCACCAGGTTCCAGTTTTTCCTTTGGGCAGATTCATGTTCCCAACCCATCTCCTTCCCCAGATTGCATTTCCTCTTCTGCTTCGCATCTCACTGGAAACACTCGGCTGATAGTTTATGACTCTGACTCTTCCTGGTTTCCATCAAGGGCTCTGGCTGCTCTTGAGAAGCCACTGCTGAGGACGACCTGTACAGTGCGTTTTCCTGGGGCCGCCTAGGTCACTCTTGGGTCAGAAGACATTTGCTCACATTATTTCAGTTCTAAAGTGACTAGCTCCAGCCAGCACATGACACTTCTGCCTATTCTCTTGAACTGTACTTGATGTAAGGTCGAGGGATGCTTCTGTACTTGTTCAATAAGTTATATAGAACCTTAGAGTGCCCATAGAGATAGATGCTCTATAAATATTCTGTGGTTTGATAAATTTTAGGCACTTAAAATTGTTAAATAAATTTTATTACTAAAAATATGCTCTGGAAAGATAGCTCAACTGTTAAGAGCACTGACTTTTAAGTTGCTTAAAGAGGTCCCAGATGCTCTTCCCGGCACTCACAGCATCTTAGAGCTGTGTATGTTACAGCTGTCCATAACTCCAGCTTCAGCATCCTCTTCTGACCATGGGGGGCACCAGGTACACAGGCATACATACTTGCAAAACACTCATACACATAGAATAACAATTTTTAAGAAACTACAAATAAATAAATAGCACACACTGGAATTAACTAGTCCCAAAGTCTAGTTTTTAGGTGTGATACTGATATAGTGGGGATGTTTTTAGTCATAGCTTTAGAGCTAAAGCTTCAGGAGATAGTAAATGTCTGTACATGGTTTGAAATAACGGATTTGCTTCAAAATTAGAGAGATAATGGGGAATGAAAAAAGACTAGGCCTCTGTGCAGAATAGTTGAGGCTTTTGTGATTACATGGGTTTTAAAATACTGTGGTTTACACTTTGGCACGTGTTTGAAATTCTTCGTGGTAAAGTTGGGTAAACACTCATTTTTATTAGCTCACAGTTTCTTTACAAAATCAAGTCTGACTAATTTTTAGGGGAGGTTATAGCTAAGAATCTGTGGAATTTGATAAAAGTTAACAGCTTTTATAGTACAAAGAGGTTGGGAAATGCTACAGCACATCCTTTGAATTCAAGGAGGAATTCCCCAATGACTTGGCTCTTAAGGTTGAAAGAACTTAAGTTTTATGACAGTTACTGCCAGCAGTATTCTGTTATTTAGTTTGTATTAACTACTGATGATGTTATGTTGATCTCTAACCTGTGCATAAAAATTTCAAGGTATGCCAGAAACTTTTGCATTTTTTGTGGCGAATTTTATGCCAAAAGCTAAGTGCAGATTATTTAGAATAGTCCAACACATATTTGAAATAAGCCAGAAAGTGTCAGTCAGCTCTCTATTGTTGTGACAGGATACCCGAAGAAATCAACTTATGAGAAAATATTATGTTGGTACAGTGCGCTGTCACTGGCCCATCATTGCGGGCCTGTCACAATGTAGACTATTGTGGCGGTGTGTGCCAGAGCAGAGCTACTCATTTGATGACGGTATCTGGGAAACAAAAAGAGAAAGGAGCCAGAATCCCAGAATCTCCTTCAAGATCAGTGATCTGACTTCCCCACCCTTATACCCCATCCCCCAAGGTCCTGTCATCTTGCAGTAACACCACAAGCTGGAGGCTGTTCAACTCATGACCTTTAAGGCACTTAAGCACAAAGCATAAAGCATCAGTTTCTTTGTTCATTTTACTCACAGTTCCAGTCTCTTCCTTTCTCCTCATGCTCCCAATACTCACAGCTTATTGTTGCTGTGCTGGGACTGAGCTTTGGGCTTTAGACATGGTGGGCAAGCACTTTACCATTGGGCTTGATTCCTAGCCTTCTCTTTATTTTGAGACAGGCTTTTGCCACGTCTATCAGGCTGGCCTTGAACTCGCTCTGTGGCCCATGTAGGCTTTGAACTTGTGATCCTTCTGTCGTGGCCTCAGTAGCTAGGATTATAGGCCTACATCACCAGCCATAGCCCACTCACAGATTTATCTTTACTCTTTTGCCTTTTTTAATCTTCTGCTTAGTGTATTGCAAATACAGTTTACTATATTTTATTGTGTGATTTTGGGGGAACACAACTAGAACCTAGATTCTTGGTGAAGCTCTAAGCAGTGAAGCAATGACTCACTCCCCATACTCCATTTGACTTCTCCCAACACACACACACACACACACACACACACACACACGCACGCACGCACACATCCTGCCAGGATCCTGATGAGGTGAGGAGGGAGAACTGATCACTCTGTTCCTCTGTGAATCTTTCTGTAGTTTCCATCTCTCGGTAGCCTCTTTCCTTAAGTTCAGAAGAATTGGAGGGTGCTTTCAGATATGTGCTGCTGCAAAGCCACACCCTCATGATCCACTTTGTGGTGCCCTTCTCTCACGTCCAGGAGCTTTACAAGTAGCTTTCCTTTTTAACACTGGTCTTCGAACCTAGGGTCTCTCACGTCCTGAGGAAATACTGCGCAACTGAAGTGTATTTTGAACCCCTTTTCATTTTTTTTTATTTTGAGACAGGATTTTATTAAGTTGCCATGCTTTCTCTGAACTCAGCTCTGTAGCCCAGACAGGCCTTGAACTTGTCCTTTTGCATGATTCCCCCAGAGCACTGCTAATATAGTTCTGTACCTCTGGAACTTTTTTTTGTTTCCTTAGCTGTGAAGAGCTTCCATGGTTTAAGCATAATTAAATGTCTACTCCAGATGACCATATATGTATGTAATGTGCATTCCTGTGCTGGTGTGTGCACATGTGTTTTACAGCCTTCACAAGTTCTAATGAACTAAAACTGATTACCTACTTAGGCTTTTAGAGACAGACTACAGAAAACTTACGTAGAGGGTAAAAGTGCTGTTTTTATTTTTGACTAGATAGTTGTATAAAGGTGTACAAATAGGGTATATCCAGTATAGCAGTAACTGAACGCTCTTGAGCACACCTCCTTGTGGCTTATTCTGCACATTAGTTTTTCCTTTTATACATCTGTGAATTATAGACTCCGGAGTGATTGCTAGAATTAGTGCTGTAAAGTGAGTCCTATTATCCTTGGGAGGAGCCTTCCATGGTGACCCTTTCACTCCTTTCTTTGTAAAAGGAGGCAGACAATCAAATGGAAAATTCTGATGAGAGTGTTTCAAAGATACAAACTTAAATCTTTGCTTTGTTACAAAAGTTGACTTCCTCAGCCATGCTAACTTCTCCATGCCATTTTTATGTTATTATTGCTTAGCATGATAGCATACAAATGGCCTCCTGAGTGCATGGTATTATTTCAGCTCAGAAATAATATCTTATGCTTTCAATTTTGTCTCCTCAGGTTGCAAGTACCAGACCCACTCTAGCTCCAGAAATAGATTTATTAAAATAACTGTGTAGGTCCTAAGTCATGAAACAGTTTACAGTCAGAGCTATGGATACTGGAGTTGGCAAACAAAAACACCAGCTTGTGTTCTGGGTGGCTTGCAATTGGAATTGCCAAGTTACGGCCTCTCTACTTGCCTTTTTTTTTCTTTTTTGGTATTCCTGGTTAACTTGACTGATGCCCACTTAAGACAATGCCAAGCACTGCAGGCCTTGCTACATCATGATACTCTTCAGTACTCTTTTTGATTCATGGTCATCTTGAATGTCTAAGAGGTAGACTGTATCACTTCATTTCATTTTGTTTTTACCTGTGACTATAAATTTTAATAGTCTGGCTCTGCCTAGCCTGGAGATTCTTCGTTTTTATGGTAGATGTTTTGTGTGCACTTCTCCAGTTGGCTGTGTTTTATGAGGTCGGAAAACTAATGGATTCCACTTGGGATGGATTTTGGGTAGGGAGGCTAATAATATATATTGCATTATATTTCTTTGCAACTTAAAGGGTTTCTAAAAAGTGGCATATTGGTTCTGGAAATTTCTTTCTAAGGGAGCACATGGGTCTGAATGATCTTTGTTAAACAATCACCTTAGGTGGCTAGGGTCAAAAAAGTGCAGAAGGTGAAGGTATGGATAACCTATCAGTCTTGTCCTCAGATACTTGGAAAATAGGTACCCAACTCAGGTGTGGCTCAGTGAGCAAGTGCATATGCAGCGGGGCAGGGGAGGGGAGGTGTTCTCGTTTGTTCTTTGTTTAGGTTTGTCAAGACAGGTCCTCATGTGGCCCACACTGGACTCAAACTTGGTATAGCCAGGGATAATATTGAACTAGGGATTCCCTTCATTTTCTAAGTACTTCAGGTGTATTCTACCACTCCCAACTCTGACTGATAGGCTCAAATGGAATGATACAGGACAAATTCATTTTGAATCTGTAACATTACTATTATTTCATTTTATGTCATGGGTGTTTGTCTGTATATATTCCTGTGCACCGCTCTGGTGCCTGCAGAGTCCAGAAAAGGGTGTTGTCC